AAAAATTTAAAAAACCCCCGACATGAATCATTTCTAAAAACACTCAATCAAGCTACCTTTCAAAGAAAAACAATTGAATCAAAATCGGATCATTCGTTTACAGATGCACTCGTTAAACTTATAATATAAAAAAGGCATTTATTTGAATATTATAAATAGGCTCTTCTTTGTAAAGAAATAATTTGACGCCTGTTGCTAGCAGATTTTGTACATAAGAGGTGACGTTTATAACTTCAGTTAAGTCGAGTTCGTAGCATTATTCTTATTGTCATGGATGTCTCTGCTTGAGCTGAGCATCACCCATTGTGATCTTGCATTAAATAACGAGTGGACTCGACCGAATGGACGATGGTGCAAGATGATGACGATTGTGATGGGCCCGGTCCACTTCCTTCTTAACGCATGGTTCAGGTGGTATTGTTCTCAGGGAGCACTGGTTCCCTGACGTGATAGTCAAGATATAATGAAGACTTCAACACATAAGAAACTTGTTACGTGTGCAGTTTTTTAGATTGAACCGCGCCCAACGCAGTTACTCTTTGACCTTTGGAAGAAATTGAAGGAAATGGGCAGGTACTGTTAAGATTTAAAAATGAAAAAGAAATTTTTGTTGGTGTGAACAGCTTCCTTACTACTTTTAATATAATAGGTGTACATATACCCCAGTTTAAGCCGTAACTGGTATGGTATTTTCCCGAAATTTTGCTTTTATCTGGGATTGTAAGAACACTCAAAATTAAAGATCGTGAATTTTTCGACAAAGTTACTTTTTACAACAATTTAATGATTATTAATTAGAAAAATACAAGAAAATTAAATTAACATCGAATTAACTCGGATAACAGATTAATGGTGTCTGGATCTATACTTATATATAAAAGGATACTGGTTGACTAATCCACCTGTAGTTCGAATCCCTGGGTCTAGAGACTTGAATTTTTCAACAGACTTTCCTTATACAACTTAGAGGAGAATTTAGACGGGATAGTTAACTAAAAATGAAATGTGTGCTGGGACACATACTAGAAGTGAAACTTCAACGGAAAATTGGAAAAACGAATGGCAACGGACAAGAGGAAAAACGAATCGCAACAAAATATTTACTTCAAGTTTTAAGGGCAGATTGCTAACGTACTTGTCCAATTTGGAAACCTGCCCCTAAAACGTCAAGTAAAAATTTTGTCCGGTTTTTATATTGGACAAGTACATTAACAACTGCCCTTTTCACTTGTCTGTTGAAGTTTCACTTCTACTATGTGTCCCAGAACACATTTCGTTTTCACAGGTTTACTGCAAATTATGATTTGGTTTTTACACAGACCGCAAATAGAGGCTATAATACCCAGTCACGTGGTAATAAAACAACAGCTGAGCACAGCACACGCTGCCGGGACTCTAGCGGACTCCCCGCTCTCCGCGCGACTTCGCATTATATCCATCTAATACAGCCGTTTCCCTCTCTCCGCCGCCGCCAGCCTTTCTCGCCCTCTGCCGCGACCGCTTCTCATCACGTAATATACTACCCCTTCCACGGGGCCTTAACACTTTTTCGGGACAGAAAATACCCCGTCTATATAAAAGTTTCACTTCAAAAACGTACCTTGAAAAACCCTCACAACAAGAGGCGAAACGTTTGTGTTGGTTCTATACAAATTAAAACCTTACAAATTACAACCCTTATTAGCTCTGATTCTTTTGTGTTTTCTTTTTAATCGTTTTATGTTGGGTTCGACCACATCCCTTTTAGAACAAGACCATAATCATCTAATACGCTTCAAACAATTTTGTTGCTAATAGCAATATCTTCACTGCAGTATATTGTTTTCTTAGGTACGATAGGGACTATTCTCAGTAATTTCATTGTATTATTAAAAGCGTACGAATACAACGAGAAAGTAAATTACATAAATTAAACAAGTTCATGTAATAAGCAAATAACTACAAATAAACTTAAGAAAACCGTAATGGCATGCGATACGACATATAATATTACCTGATGAATTTATAATATTTTTGTATATCAGGTAAATGACAAGGAAGGATAAAATAATTGCCTTGAATTGTTTCATAGATTGATTATAAACGCTATAATCATTATATTTACCTGTAGGATGACTCAATTTCAGAGGTGCCGTACACGAACGGTTCAATGGAATCTTATCGTTATATCTTATCTGGATATGAATTGTGACGCGTACTCCTCTGGTTTGTAGTGAAGAGTGACCCAAATAAATTCCTGTTTTTCGACCCTTTTGAATCCTCATTATTATTATTCAAAAGGAGTCTAAATGATCTTTTTTACTTTGGAGGTATGATAAGATCCAAAACGAATCCAGAATTCTCGGTGGGTTTTCTTTTAAGCGTTTGAATAATATGAATTTAGTGTAATTATTATATTCTGATGTCATCAATTTAAAAAAACTATTAGGAGAACAGAGGACTCTATGGAAATCAATCAAAAATAGGCGAGATAGGTTGGTAGGACACCTTCTCAGGCATGAAGGTCTAGTCAGAGACATATTAGAGGCAGAAACCGGAATTAAGAGGAGTAGAGGTAGACCTAGATTAGAATACTGTTTGTAAATATCTCAGGATGTTGAATATTCTGGTTTTAGAACAGGATGGGAAAGAGTAGAGGTGCGTGTCCAACCAGTCTTAGGACTGACGACCCTACGGTGATGATCATACTATCAATTTCGTGGAGGTCTTTTCCAATTAAGTAAAGTTGATGATGGCCGGTGTGTGGCCTATTTATCTAGCCGATCGACTGCTGGGTGCATTCGTTTTTTCTTTTTACTCCTGCTGCTAAATAAATCTTATATTATGTAATAACGTAACATCTCTTCATTACGACCAACGTCTTATTAAATTATCACCTGATTGGCTACCATTCAATGTGGATCATCAGACTCTTCTATATCAAGTCGGATAATTAAAATTAA